TGTGTGTGTGTGTGTGTGTGTGTGTACTCACACAAAAAAAACAAAAAAATTATATTAATAATTATATAGATCACTATGTTAAAAATATAATAAATAGTATAATTAACTAATTTTATATTTTATATCAACATTGTTTACAAATCTCATTTCAACAGAAGTTTTTAGAAAAAATATGATCTATTCAATTTAATTATTTTCAAAGAATTCATTTATTCTATTTATTTTAATAATAATTAATTATATATAAATAAAAATATACAGTATAACAATACAATTTCAATTTTAAATCATACGAAACAAATTCTTACTCGTTGAAAAATTAAAGATATTTTTATATATATTTCTTGTATAGAATTACTTGGCACATAAACTAATAAATTTTTGTACTTGTAATACATAGAGTATTTGCAGTATTTATATTCATAACTTAAAAAATAACTGTCATATTTCTAAATAATTAATAATCTTATATTTACGAACCTCGTGCAGCTTCCTTCTTTTTTGCTTTTGCTTTAGGTGTGTCATCTATGAGTAAAGTTTCAAGTGGTAATGAATCTGGTAATATGTAATATCTTATATTATTGCCTCTTAAACTTAATGTATCTAATTGTACAGGATCTCTATTCTTTATTGTCATTTTTACAGTTTTTAAATGCGTATTCATTGCCACATCTACTCCTGTAAGTGAATATTGAACGAATATTATTAAATTTTAATGAAAAAAATAAATACAAAATTTTTTTATAGGTTATGTTGACATACCGGTAATAGTACCATGTACTTGAGTACCATTTTTCAATTCTATTGTTACAGTCTCGTGACTGAGTTTCATTAAAAATCTGAAATGGTTATATCATAAACATTATTTCAGTTAAAAAAATATTTAAATGTCGTACAATAATAATCTTTATAAATTCAATTAATTCATACACAATCTTAATTTTATGTAAGAAACATTTTATTACATCTTATTATTGTAAATTATATATTAATTTACGTACCTTACTAGTTTCATGGTAATGTTATAATATTGTACGTTGCGATAAAATTACAATCTCTATTTCATACCGCTTTTTTACCTACACCTGTAACCATACAGAACGCTATATTTCCTGTGTTCCAAAACCTTTTCATTTCTCTTTCATCCATCTCGAATTGTGTTGTGTTGTGTCACGTGTTTTGTATAAAATTATTAATAATAAAATAAATCAAAAGCAATAATATAAAATAATAATGAATACAATTATTAAGAAAATTAAATAATTTAATATAAAGGTAATGTATTAATATTTGTTTATGTTAGTAATAATAACTGACAAAATTTAAATATAAAATTACAAAATAATGTTACGCGAATTTTTAATGATTCAATAAAGTAATGAATTTCAAATTATTTATAAATTATAAAAGTTGTAATATAAATTATTTATAAGTTATAAAAAAGACAGTCATCTTTGAACAAAAATTTAAAACACATTTATAAAATATTTTGCATGTATTATGCGTATAATTTAATATTTAATATTTACTTATTATTATATAATTATTTATTTAATATTATATATTTATATGTGTTATATTAATTATATTGTAAATTATAATTACATATTATGTATTATATAGTTATAATAATTATATATGTATATATTATATTGGTATTAAAAACTTATCGCATGAAAGATAAAGACAAGAATTTCTCATATCTTTTCTCATATGATAGATTTCACAAAATTAAAAAGAAAATATCTCTTAAATGATTTTTCGATATAAAGAGATTAATACTTTTATATAAAGAATGCTCAGATAAATCGCAACGAAATATTTTACAAAAAAATTTTAATCTTTAATATTAAATAATAATTTTTTAAATCATTAAATAATAATTTTTTAAATCATAACTGTTTTTTCGACTTATTTTTTCACGTAGAAAACTTTTTTCTTCTCGGTTGTACCGATGCTCCCTCTATAACTCTATTTAAAAAAATGAATTTGATCTTTAAATCTCCTCCATCATTCAATTTGCAAAAAAGTAATTTGCATATATAAATATGATGTCCCATTTCAAACCATAAACTTTTGTTAAAATATTTTTTTGATAACTATTCTTTTGTGAAATATTCTATCATCAATTAAAATATTCATAAAAAAGTTGAAGTATAAAGAATAATATAAAGTATATACAGTATAAGATAACAAAAATAATTTGTACATTTGTTGTACAAAAAAATATTTCAAACAGAAGCTTTTTGCATGATTTCTAAAAAGACATATAATGCTATAATCGTTTTGTCATTTTGCTTTTTTATTGAAATATAGAAGTCATCTTTAATTTTTAAATGGAATAATATATTTTTTTATCCATTAATCGATAGAGCTCGACATTTTCTACGAAAAAAATATTAATCTGTATATGTCGAAAAATTATTGGTTTAATTTCGGAGATATTTTAATTTATTTTAACTTAAAAACAAGAACAGTATGAATACAGAAATATTATCTGTATCCTTCTTTGTTTTTTGTATGCTAGTTTTTGTAGAATTAAAATTAAAATATCTTCTAAATAATTTTTTTGAAATATACATATATAGGATGTTACGTAACTGATGATACAACCAAATAAATGATGATTCTACGAAAAAACAGATCGAAAGTAAAGAATAAAATGTTTTTATTTAAAGCTTTGTTTTTGAGAAAATCAAATTTGAAAATTTATCAAGTAGACAACTATTAAACCAATTCATAACTATGTTCAAAGTCTGTTTTCTTGAAAATGAAATCTTAAACAAAAAAAATTTATTCTACATTTTCACTTATTTTTATAGATAGAATGATCTTCTATCGATTGTTAATTTCAGTATAGTCCAGAATTAACCAAATTTAAGTACTCTTGAAAAATTTTCTAATTCAATTTTCTCGAAAATGAAATCTTAAATGAAAAAAATTTTATTTTTTTCTTTCGACTTACTTTTTATATAAAATCACTCCATATACTGTTGTTACAGGATATCCTATATAGCATACATTTTTAGTTTATTATTAAATGTTAATATGATCATATTATGTATATTACTACCCTATATAGCATACATTTTTAGTTTACTATTAAATGATAATATGATCATATTATGTATATTAATACTATTTAAATGTATTATATATAAATATAATATTACAATTTTTACATTTTTCAAATTTATTTATAATTCTTTTAACATTATGTACATATTAACAAATGAAAAAGTAAAACGAAAACTTATAAGGAAAATTACATATTAAAAGCGAGATTTTACGTATATTTTAAATTACAGTACATGACCTACTTGCTTTTGCATTAATTAATTTTAAAATGATTCTCATTCTTCCATCTGATCCTATATCGTACGTTTGTGGAAATGGTGTTCCATCAGGTCTATTATATATGTTTTGTAAACATTGTTCCCATCTGACTGGTGATACAGTTTGTTTCAATATGTATTTTTTCACATATCGTAAGTTAGTATATGGCACAGCTTTATAATTAGAATATACTTTACACCTAGGTTCATTTATTTCTATTGAACCCAATATTTTACCGATTGCCTTTAAAGCAGGTTCCATCAATGGTGTGTGAAATGCTCCTGATACAGGTAATCTGGACAAATTAGTTAGGCCAAATTGTGTTTTATGATTTTCAAGATAATCCAATGCTTCTACATTTCCTGCTATTATTTTTCTTTCTGAACATAGAAAAATAGCAGTCCTAAAATCATTATAAATTGTATAATTAACAATTATATCTTTTTCTATTACTTATTAAATATTAAAGTTTGGAAACAAAATATCATACCTGCATATTGGATTTTCAATACCTATGTCCTTTGCCCAGTTTTCTGCTTCAGTACATGCTTTTGAAAGTTGTGTTTTTGGTGTATGAACTACAGATAACATTCCCTGAGGCACTAAATTTGATGCATGTTGCATAGCTTTTCCTCTAGTCCATGCTAATCGAATTCCATCTTCAAAAGTTATAATACCAGAAAGAATTAAAGCAGTTATCTCTCCTACGCTATAACCTGCTGCAGCAACACATGTTTCAAATACTTTAGGATCTTCTGCTCGAATTTTTTCTAATGCAACCAAAGATGATACTACTGTAGCAGCTTGATTAAATTCAGTTCGATTTAATTCCTTTTGTGGGCCATTCAAACAAAGTTTCAATAAATCATAATTAGTTATTTCATTAGTTATTTCAAAAAGTTCTTTAGCACCAGGATAATTCATATATTTTTTAACCATGCCAACTTTGATGGTACCTTGACCAGGAAATAATAAAACAGAGGTATTTTTTGGATCAATACTCGATTTTGTATCTTCATTGTAATCTAATGGAATATCTTTAGGGTATGGAGTTGTCATCCAATTTTTATCCTTGACACCTTCAAATGTTGCAGCTTCTTCAAGTAAATGTAACACTTCTTGTGTCTTATATGAACATTGTGAAGAATTTTGTTTCAATTGATCTACATTTGATGCTTCAGAATTACTACTGTCATCTTTCACATAATTATTTGAAATTTGATTGATCCTTGACCAATAACATTTTGGTATACAAGGAAGTATTTTTTTACATAATTTTTGCTGGAACATTCTAGTTATTTAAAAATTTAATATCTATTTAATATCTAAAAAATTGTATAAACTTTAAAAAACAAACAAACTCTTTACTTGAAATTGATATTGTTAAAAAATAATACAATTCAAAAATCAAGATAATTTAGAAGATTACGAATACATAAAATGTTATTGTTTATGTTCTATTATAATAATCTTCTAAGTTTAGTTTAACATTATAGTAGACAAAGAAATTAATTAATAGTTGAACATTATAGTAAATAGAAAAATTAAATTATGTATCTATTTTAAAAATATAAGTTTTATATTTATACACTGTTTCTTAAGATTGTTTCATCATATAAACGTGATTAATATAGTATTTCTTCTT